GGCCGTCTCAGCCACATCTCTAGAGACCTCTGACCAACCTTAACTGGGAACCTCATTCAGCTGTGCAGCCACCCACCTTGTTCCCCTTCCGTAGAAAAGAGAATGGGATTTGGAATGACACGAATGTGCTTTCCCATCCTGGCTCTGCTACCTACCCCTTGATTCATCTTACAGACCCGTGGCTTGACCTCGGTGAAAATCTGTCCTTAGCTTAAAACGGGAATACTCAGATCGGCTGCCAAGATTGGAATTAATAGTTCATCATGTCACCGCTTGTGTCAAAGAGGCCTGTGCTGTGTCTGGTGCGTAGGTGGCACTTGATGAACATTAGATTGAGTGGGTTACATGTTGGGCTGCTAGCTACTGAGCCGGCTGTTCGAAACCACCAGCTGCTCCAGAAAAGAACGATGAAGTCTTAAACTCTCATCAAGAACAACAGTCTCAGAAACCCACAGGAGTAGTTTTCTCGCGTCCTGGAATCGGGTCACTGTGTGTCGGAATTGAGTCAAAGGCAGTGAGTGTGGGTGGGGAGGTCCAGCGACACACTGCTGAGACATGAACTGCCTCAGGGTGGTAAGGGTTAACTACACTTCCATAAACCTATCCTCCAGGCATGGTGCTAACCTGGCTCCAACAGGGCTCATGTAGCTTCCTGAACGCCCACCACCTGGGAGGAGTCCTTGGGGGGTGCAAATGGTGACCTTGCTCAGCTGCTAACCTGACAAGGTGTCACTTCCGGTCTACCTACAGGGCCTTCACAAGAAAGGCCTGCTGACCCCCTTCTGAAAGACCAGCCACTGAAACCTCATGCACACAATTCTGCCCGGACCCTCCAGGAGCAGTGGCGTCACACGGGTGCCACGGGTGCTGTCCACGTTGGGTGACATGTCAGAGGAACGAGGAGCCTTGGTGGAGTAGTGGTTACGCATCGGGCAGCAAGGTCGGCAGTTCCCAGCTACTCTGTAGGCGAACAATGAGGCTTTCTACTCCTATAAAAAATGATAGTCCCCCAAGGAAGCTTTTTTTTAAAAATAATAATAAAGTGAAATTTAAGAGTGACAGTCTGGAAACCCGCAGGGGCAGTTCTGCCCTGTCCTCTCAGGTCACGAGGCGTCGGAAGCAACTCGAGGGCAATGAGTTGTTTTGCTTTGTTTTGTTTCTCAGAGCAGGCAACACCAGAATGACTTGCATATCAAATTCTTGTGCAGTGATTCAGCAGAAATTTATTATTTCTGCAATAAAAATTACCCTACAGTTAGTTCTAGCAACAAAAAACATGTTTTAGCCAACCAACGTAGATGCATCAATATATGGAAAAGGCTCAAACTCTATGCTAATTTCCTTTTTGAACCTTCTACCGTGCTCCGGCCCGAGCCGTCGTTATCACGCAGCTACAAGGACTCCGTGAATCGCATTGTTTCAGCCGCTTGTTTTACAAGCCTCCCCTGTTGCGTCCGTTGCGAAGCTGCTGTTTGTATAGTCCATGGGTTGTCAAACTCCCGGGTGTTATGGCTAACCTAGCGTGGCGATTAGGATTTGTGAACCTACAGCAGTAAGTTTTCTGGGACACAAGTAAAGGGCAATCACAGAAGCATCTTCCTCACTTACTAATGAGGCTGTCGCTGATCATGTAACTCAAGGTAGAGAAAGTGGACAACACAAATGGGTTGCTGATGTACATAGGCTCTAAGAAATATTACATTAAGCAATTCAGAACTATCTCAGATACTCTGTGATCAGGATGGACAAGAAACATGTCTAAGGATCCGTACAGCGGGTACAGAGGAGATTCGTGAGGGTGGGGGTGGGTGGCACTGGGTGAGCCAAGCCTAGTGATGCCACTGGAATAGAGTCCCCAGCCAACTCGATGACAACTGGTTTACCAAATGCCAGGCATGGTGCAGGCTGTAGACAAGAGCTTTAATTATGACAGCAGGCTGCGAAAATGGTGCTACCATCCCATTTTACATTGAAAGCTCTGAAAGCTTTCGTGCCCAGGCTGGTGAAGGGTGGCACCAGGATGCAGACCTGGTACCAACTGTGGTTCTCAAATCAGACTGTATCCCCAGATCCATCTCTATGAGAGGGAGCCTGGCATTTGCATGTTAACACTGCACTCTGATTCTGAGGATGAGCCAGGTGTGCTAAACTCTGACCCACCTCCTGCTGTTGCTGCCGCTACTGAGAAGGTGGCTGCTTAAGCCGCTCCTGACCACGTCCAAAAAAGTAAGACGCTCAGGGCCTGAGGGAAGTGTCATCAGCTTTTCCTGTGAAAATCTTTAAAGAGAGGCCATATGCCCATGTCTCTGAGATTGTATATAGAAACTGCTGGACTGGCTTAACTTCAAATTGGCTGAGAAGAACCTCGCCCCGTGAATCACATCAAGGGTGCTATGGTCCAGAAAGATCTGGGAGCACACGGGGTGCAGGGGTTTTCTGTCTCCCCTTTTACAGACCGTTTTCATCCACCACCGAGGAGCGAAGGCACACAGAGCAAATGGGAGAAGCCTGGGGAAGCGCAGAGGGCTTATGATGGTCAAATTGATGATGTGCTTGTAAGCCTCCGTGTTTTAAGCAAGCAGCCCTAAGGTGGCCCCCGAGACATTGAACCTTCTCTCCACCAAAGCGATCTTAGTAAAAGCAGGCTGGGGTAGTCAAAAGCCTCAGAATGAGTCACTGGCATGAGAAAAAGACCAGTCAAATGGTCATTATCTAGGAAGTTAAAGGGGACAAAGAGATCTACTGCCTGCAAATAGAAGCTTTGTGCTTCGTACGCTGCGGTTTAATTAGTAATCTGCTAGTAGAATGTGTAATCGGCTTATTTCTCTATTGCTCTGCAAGTTAATAATTATAGCCCATTTCATAAAACCCACAAATGAGTCTGCACAATGGCTTTTTCCCGTGTGACGTAGGTCGAACCCGGGCCTGCAGCTTCCCAAACGGGCATGAATGCCTCGTAGCATTTACCACATGGCAAGACAGAGGAGAACTTTGGAGAAATTAGAAACTTCCCTAGGACTTGTTAGGAAAGCTCAATCCCTTTAAAGTCATGGAAATGTCATCAATCACGCAGGTTCGGCTTTGCCGGAGGATGGCGCGAGGACTAGCTGAACCCTGGAGGCTGCTGCCAGCTCTTTAGTAATTGGTCTGGCACAGTCCCCGGGCAGATGTGAAAGCATCCTACTTCTTAACAAGAAACAGGGTAAAGGAGGGAGCTACTTCCTGCCTCGACTAATACTGGTACCTCCAGGAAGAGAATTGAGGGCTGAAGTCCAGCCCAGTCCCAGGGCTCAGTCTGCTGACCTTCCTCCCAGGGCACAGGGTCAGGTGGGAAGTGAGGAAGAGCCAGGGCCAGGCAGGGCATCTGCACGCGTTTGTCTGGGAGGCCTTCCTAGGGCAGGGGTTCTATCACAGTGCTCCAAGGTCCAGGAAGACAGTGCCCAGAGAGGCAGGGTCTTCTTCCCTACGATACCAGCTCTCTGGGCCCACCCTTCCAAGGACTAAAACCACACCAGCCCTCGACGGAGTGAAGGCAGTTAAGCTGGAATGCTGGGGCTGCTTGAAAAATGAGCCCCAAGAGATTTCTAGGTCTTGATTCCTGAAACCCATGAATGCCACCATCAGTGGCAAAGGGGCCATGAGGCTCTTTGCAGATGTGATTAATTAAGGATCTTGAGCTAGGGGGATTGGCCAAGAAGGTCAATGCAAGAGTCCTTTTAAGAGGGAGGCCGAAGGAGATCTTAACACACACAGAGAAGGTGCACGGTAACACCCCCCCAGACAAACACACACCCCTCCAGACACACACATGAGTGGGTTCTAACCCATGTCAACTCTGTGTGTGTCCCAGTACTGGGCTCTCTAGGGTTTCCATGGCTAATTGTCCAGGAACAAAGAAGCACCATTCAGAGGTTGCCCCCAGCTAGACTCAAACCGCCAACCTTGAGGTGAGCAACCAGAGAACATTAGCCATTTGCCCCCACCCAGACTAGGCCATTTTTAACCAGAACAGTAGAAACCACATGGTTATGAAATGTTGCTTTGGGATTCCGTCACATTAACTTGACATTGGATCCTAGGGCCCGTCTGGGTGGTGGTTTTGAGCTGTGGTTGGAATCGGTGGTTGTTCTTTCATCTTGGGTTGCTTCCTGGGGGTACGGGCCCATCCAGATGGTTGATTGCTTTAGGGCAGGAATCACGGGGATTCATCGGAATTTCATCCCACCCTACTCCCACTCCCGGTGCCTAGCACAGGCCTTTGCCCTCACGTGGTGCTGGGGGCGAGGCAGGGTCAGTAGTTCCAAGCCACCAGCCGCTCCTTGGGAGAAAGATGGGGCTGTCTGCAGAGATTTAGTGTCAGAAACCCTATAAAGCAGCGGTTCTCAACCTTCCTAATGCCGCGACCCTTTACTACAGGTCCTCATGTGGTGGTGACCCCCAACCATCAAATTATTTTCATTGCTACTTCATCACTGTCATTTTGCTACTTATGAAGCATCATGTAAATAGCTGATAGGCAGGATACATTTTCATTGTTACAATTGAACATAATGAAAGCATAGTGATGGATCATAAAAACAATATATAATTCTATATTGTGAAATATTTATTTCTAATGAAAAATCAATGAAATGTTGTCTTGAAGCATGGTGTAGCATGAGTCACAGTCTTCACGCCGGGTACTCGTATGTGGGCGTATCTGCACGTGGGCGGACCCGCCTGGAGACGAATAGAGGAGCGGTGTCTCGGTTCTTAAGACCATCGGAAATATGTGTTTTCTGATGGTCTTAGGCAACCCCTGTGAAAGGTCATTCGACCCTCAAAGGGGTCACGACCCACAGGTTGAGAACCACTGCTCTACAGGGTGTGGGTAGGAGTCCAGGGCAGTGGATTTGGTTTGGAGTTTGGTATTCAAAACACAGGTCATTGATTTTATTTCTAGTCCTGGAAGAGCCTGCCAGCCATTATGTGGGCCCTAGTGTAATCCCATTTTCTTACAGGTGAGACAACCGCACAGCCAGTCACCCCGACGCAGGTACAGACTGCCACTCCAGCTGAGACCGCCCCTACCCCCTTGCCCAAGCCACCCGAGCCTACCGCCTCAGCCACAAACAGCCCCAGACCACAGCCCCTGGGCCACAGGAGCCGAGAGCCAGGTCAGTGGGTACCCTGCGTGCTACGCGCTGACAAGGTGGAGCTATTCGAGAAACACCTCCCTGGCAAGCGGGTAGGCAGCGCCCTCCTCCCACCCTTGGAGCTGGGTGAGTGGGGGTCACCTGAACGCTGGGCCAGGGTGTGGGGCTGGTGTCCTCCCAGACTCCAGAGGTAAAGGTAAGCCTGAGCCCAAGGACCCCGAGCCCCAGAGGTGAGCAAGGCACTCAAAAGGAGCTTCCTGGAAATCCAGAGGTAAGGCTGCTGTTACAGAACGGGATATCACATAAGATGTGGCCGCTGTTAAACCCCCATTTGTCCCAGAGTTCGCATCAAGGAGGAGTGGATGTCTCCAAAACCTGGTGTTTTGTTTTCCTTTGCTTTGCTATGCTTGTTAAGTGACAAATGGCACCGGAAGTCTTCAAATATTAAGAATAAACAAGACCAGAGGAAGCACTTCCGAAATCCTACTTGTCCCCATTTCTTAAATCACCTTTGAGGTTTTAGCAAAATCCCTTTTATGCCATTAATCAAAGTACTGCAGCAACTCTTTACATGCTCATTTCATAACCCAATCTCAGGTTTCCAAGATTCTAAGCTACCCAGAAGGTCTTCTGGGAAGGAGGTAGAAAATTCCACAGCAAATGCCACAGTTGTTACCCCAGCTCATTCTTTTCTAAAGATTTCACACCTGATCTCTGCATTACTTTTTTTAATTGCGGAGAAAAGACCCAGGACTTGTGCCTTCCGGCCTTAGCTCCCTTCCTGCCTCCACAGCCCAGCCAACTCTCCATGATACCTCACAAATCTAAAAGAATACCTCCCATGTGCCGGACATGCTAGTCTACTACAATCACCTAACAACCATTCAAGTATACATATGACTTCTAATGTGATCAATCTACTGCACTGACAAGGCGATCAAATAGTAGACTGGTGTAGAAGCTGGCCCCTTGGACAGAGTTGGGGTTCTTCTGACCCCAGTCTGAGTACCAGGCTCTCCCACAAGAGGTCTCCCTACCAGAAACCAACACTCCCCCACACTGCCACCCCCCCACCCCCGTCACCAGTGGAGCGTCACAGCATCAAGGACCGGCCATCAGAGAAAGGTGTGGAGGGAGGGGCAAATTAGAATGCACTTGCAGTAGGCAGTGCATGCTTCATTAATAACAACAAATAACATAATGCAGGTGTCAGGCTGCCTGCATGCAATTTAACTTGGTCTTCAATTAAATTATTCCAATGAGATGGGGATTTCTAAAAATTATCCCATTTCACAGAGGACTCGTGGCAGAAACTATGATATAAAGTTCTAAATCAAAAATACCATAAACATAAATGTATGTGGTTTGCTGAATGATATCAGACACTCCCTTGCCATGCGATTCCTGGTTAACCCAGGCTAGTGTGTGTTTTTTAAAAATTATGATAAATATCTCAGCAACAAAACATTTGCCATTCCAACAGGCTTCACAGGCACAGGTGAGTGGCATTAATTATGCCCATCATGTTGTTCAACCAAAGAATACCATCACCCTTTACACAACTCAGGTGAATACTACCATCACATTGCACCTGACAGCAAAGGAGACCTAGTGAAGGAGGATTCTGGCTGGCCAGTTTACTAAGGACTCGATAGGCAGACGTTTCCTTTCATATTGGGCTGCTAACCACAAAGTCAACTGTTAGCACCCACTAGGTGAGGCTTACTGCGCCCATAAATTGCAGCCACAGGGGCAATTCTACTCTCTCCATAGGGTCCCTAAGAGCCAGCACTGACTCGATTGCAGTGAATGTTTTAGTTTGGTTCAGACTTTTAGAAGAACCCATGATTCTTTCCAAGAGTTTTGAGTTTCTGAGCACGGCTCTGTAAGTTGTTCTCTTGTCTCTAGAGGATGTCACTGTTCATGTAACACCTATAATTAAACATGTGGTCTACTTGCTTGCTACACTGGGAGCTTTGAAATCCTCTTACACGTGGGGCCTGAGCTTGTGGGAAACCTCAAGAAACTTCAAGGAGGGGCTCCCACTCTGGCAAAGCTGCGTTATTCCTGGCGTGGGGGACAGGGGCTTTGGACGGCAGCCTCCCGGCCGACAAGCATTCCCTCGTCATCCCTGTCCAGCACTGGCTTCCACCATGACCCGTAGGCTGCTGGGCAAACACTCTGAGCAGGCCCTCCAGGCAGCACACACAGCGGTTGCTATGAAATGAGCCAAAATGGGGGCGGAAGGGACTTTTTTAAAACTCGTGTGGCCGGCTCAAAGGGTTTTGTGCAGGCCTGGAGAAAAGTGAAGACGGAGTTCAGATACCTGTGTGTGTGTCGAACGCCAGCTTCACATATCATACAGCTTATCCATTGCAAGTGCATCCCTCGGAACTGCGGTCGTATATTCGCTGGAGTTGTGCGAGTGAGTCGCCGGAACCAATTTTAGAACATTTTCATCACCTGCAAAGGAAACCCTCCTCCCCATTAACAGTCACCATTTCATCCCCACCCAGCTTCCAGCCTCCACTCATCTGCTTTCATGAAGGCCTAGGTCTTAACAAGGGAGCCCTGGTGGTGTAGTGGTTAAGTGTTTGGCTGCTAACCACGAGGTCAGAAGTTCAAAACCACCAGCCACTCTGTCGGAGAAAGATGAGGGAGACTTTCTATTCCAGGACGGTCTCCAAAACAACCAGGGACAGTTCTACCCTGTCAGTAAGGTCACTATGCGTTGAAATCACTTGGTGGCAGTGAGGTTTTTTTGGTGAGGGGGGAGTCTTAATATATAACTATAGATTTTTTTTTTTGTGATTTCAGCCCAACTACATTAAATAATGTTTGGTATTTAACTAACTTTTTTTTCCCTTCAAATGAGCTCAAAATATACTGCCAAATAAAGAGAACAATGCCCCACTGATGACAGACAAGCGAGTTGCAATTATTGCATTTATTTAGGTTTTTTCTATGATGATAGTGAAAGGGTTCTATAAATGGATGGGATTTGCAAGCAAAATATACCTCATCTATCCATTCAGCACAGTTGTCAAGTGCTTACTCTGGTGTCAGGCACCATTCCAGGGCATTAAGCTACATCAGGCACACATCCCCCTAAGACCCCCACTTCAGACATATGTGGCTGGAAGAGGCATGACACGTGTTTGGTGTGTAGGGTCCATCTTCGTTCTACGATGGGGTAAAGAGATACCTTTCGGGACCCAGTGTGTGTGGAAGTTGTGCAGGGGAAAGTCAAAGCATGTAGCAGGAAGAGACAGAGCTTCTCCCATCTCTGAGTTGGAGCTGGTCTTCCATGGAAAGACCCCAAGAAAAAATGGGGCTGGACACCAGGGCCACTCGGTGGCCCTTTGACACGTGTGTGTTCTAAATAAGACAGAGAAGAACAAATCAAGACTAAGGCTGCGAGAGCCAAGACTCAGAGCAAGCGAGACCTCTCAGAGGGGCCAGAAGGAGATTGTTCTTCCTGGAAGGCACCAAGGATGACAATGGCCACGGAGCTGAGCCCCGTCAAAGATGGCAGCCTGGAGGGCCAGAAAGAAGGCTGGGCAAGCATTCTGCCATCCTTATTTCCTAAACGTTGATGTAGGCAAGCGTTCTGGAAACGGCCCAGGTACAGAGCCAGCTGCAATGACCACAAGCTTAGAAGGTGGGGCAGCGTTCCCCAGCCTTGTTTTCCTTGTCAAGTGCATTTCAGAGAGTGCCAGGGTTAACTAACAGATAAATGGACCCACCACCCAGAATAGGCCATCGGAGCATCGCCTAGCCGCTTGGTGTGTGGGGACTGGTCTTCTCCCTAACCCCCACCATGCTCTCTGACCAATGGCAGTTAAGCAAAGCGAAACTGGGGACTGGACGCAGACCGCCATCTCCAGTTGCCATCCCTCCCACACACAGTTCCCCTTCTCAAGCACAGAGATCTCATTGTGAGTGTGCATCTTCCTTAGGGCGTCTGGGTGAAAACAATCAGACGAAATTGCTAAAGAACAAAAGGGAAAGGTTATTGAGTTAGTTTATTGTGCCAACCTGGCCGATAAACACATGTGGGATTAATTGAAAGGCAGAGAAATAAATGGTTTGGTGATCCTCGCCTTTCTAGTTCTTGGGTCTCTTGCTTTGTGATGGTCGCACCAGGGTGCAGCTGCCTTAGCAGTTCCTTGCTTCAGCTGGCAAGGCTGACTTCCTGCAAGACATCCCTGAGGAGAAGCCACATGGACCTACCCTGATGCAGCCCTGGGTGCTGGAGCACCCGTGTGGAGACCCCTGCCAGCACTGAGATGCTTACACATTCACTGACTCGGCTTTCCTCCTGCAGTCAGCATCATTGCCTCTGTTTTGTGTGATGGAGCAGGACTTTCTGGATTGGTGTTGGACATATGGGTTAATGGGTTGATGTTGACTTGTGGGCTTGGGCAGCACTGGGTTGGGATGTTTTCTCGATGCACACTTAATCTTTACATAAAACTCTCTCTCAGACATGAGTTGCTGTGGATTTGTTTCTCTAAAATACCCAGACTAATACAGTCATGACCAGTGAAAGCACCTTGGGAGAGCTGCACAGGCCCATTAAAGGTGCCAAGAGAGGTTAAACTTAATCCGGAATCAAATCAATACAAATTAAACTACAAAGATGTCACTTTTCACCAAGTCAGATTGGAAAATGATACCACGTCATGCTGGCAAGACCCAGAATTCTCACATCCAGAAATGTATCCTAGATCATTAGGAGCCAAAGATGAAAAACAGAAAGAATGGGTACAGATGTGGATCATAATAGAAAAATCCATGGAGGTAGTTTGTCCAAGATTGTAAGAATGGTTCAAGGAATGACCGTACCAGTTGCTGCAAGGTTGACCTCAGCTCAAGGCGGCCCTGTCTGTGTCAAAGTGCCTTGGGCTCCACAGGGTTTGCTGCTTTCGGAAGCAGATCACCAGGGTCTTTCTTCCACGCCACCTCTGGATATACTTAAACTAAGGTGACCAGATTTTAACATTGGTAAAGCGGAACAA